CACGTTCTTTGAGATATATGTAATTCCTCTAACGGGCCCCTTCCCACGCGCCACTGGGTTGTAAGTTTTTGGCCTCGGTGGTCCCTAGATGCTCATGACTTCGTTGGTGGGAGTGGACGGATGACAGTTGAGCTCAGCCTCCATCTCTTTTTCCATCTGTAAAATGGGCATAAGAACATTTCTCCCTTGTCTGCAGCCCCAAAGGATGCCTGAAACCATGGGTCTTAACCAAAGCGTACAATCGCGTGCCTGTTCCGTGCTCGCTAACAACTGACTCGGCAGTGTGGCCGCGACTCTGCAGCTTGAGACGCAACAGCAAAAGCAGCACGGATCTCTTCCTCCTCCACAATTTCACAGGTCAAGTTCGTACTCAGTGCCCTTGCCGCTGTGAGCAGGCTCTGCCTCTGGGCTGCTTTCTGTTCTCGTTAGGTCAAGCACTCTCCCTTTTTCGCATAAAGGATGCACGGCTTCCCTCTGGCGTATCCGAATGGCTGGCCTCACTCCTCCTGCTCCTCAAGTTAGAAAAAAGAAGGGTGTCGTGAATTGCAATGTTGCCACCAACCTGATGATGGAGATAGCTGTTAACTGACTATCAGAGTTGGCTGATGCAGCGTGGACGAAGTAGAGCTAGGGACAGAGTGAGATGTCACCCCATCGCTCAGAATTCCATGAAACTTAAAACTTATGAGCTGTTTGTTCCTGAAATTTTCCAGTGGATACATTTAAACCACAATTTTTTAAAATATCTATTGATTTATTTGAAAGATTACTTAGAGAGAGGTACACACACACACACGGAGAGAGAGAGAGAGATCTTCCATATACTGGTTCACTCTTCAGATGGCTGCAATGGGTGGGGATAGGCCAAGCCAAAGCCAGGAGCTTCTTCTGGGTCTCCCACATGGGTGGCAGGGGCTCAAGGACTTGGGTCATCTTCCACTGCTTTTCCCAGGCACATTAGTAGGGAGTGGCAAGTCAGTGGGTCCATTTAAAGAAAAGGGAAGTGCACCATTTCAAAGGAATTGCTTTGCAAGAAGCGGAAGCAATGGATTCATGAGGCGAGAGGTGAGTGACAGAAAGGACAAGTGGAGGCAGTAGGGGCCCGAGGGAAGGCTGCTGCCTCCTGGAGTACGCGTGTGCACAGCACTCACGCGCACTGGAGAGGCGTTGAGAGAGAGGATCCTGCAGAGCAACTGGCCCCTGTGGCTCTCTGATGTGGGGCCTGTGACGCTGGTGCTGGGAACCGGGAGCCGCGGGGCCAAGCGGAGGAGGCACGTGTCCATTTAGGGCTTCCGTGGACATTGCGATGGAGACATCTGGGATCAGCTGAGCCGGTGGCTCCGCTCAGGGGGAAAGTCAGAGCTAAGGACAGGTCACCGGGCGGACATCAACAAAGATGAGGCCGGGAGAGTTCCGGCGACCACCCTGGTGGAGCAGAGAGAGAAAGCAAAGAAGCCCACAGACAGCTCTCTTGGGAACAGGAAGCAAAACACAGCCAGAGAGAGCACATTGTTCTTTGGTGCACCGTAACAAGATGTTTAAATGTTTGCATGCTTGAGAGGAGGGCTGGCTCTGCGGATTAAGGGTTCATCTTTTATTGATTCCCCACTATTTGGGTTATGCTTATGCAAAATAAACTGATGTCACTAAAGTGGGTGAACAGTAAAAAAATAAAAAATTTAAAAAAAAAACTAGACCATTACAATGAGAAAAAAAAAAAAAACTCAGATTCACCCCAGCCTTCCAAAAGAAACACAGGAAATACAACCAGAAAACAAGCAGGATTTCCTGGTGGAGGGAGAGGGTAGCAGCAGAAGTTGCCAACCTTTGAGAACGGGCTTTGTCCTGGCTGCATGCCCGGGTGCGGTCGGAGGACCATCCGGCTCGTCCCGGGTGACTCTGAGCTCTTTTTTTTTTTTTTTTTTTAGATTTTTTTATTTATGTATTAGGTAGAGTTTACAGACAGTATGATGAGAGAGACAGAGAGAAAGGTCCTCCCTCCGTTGGTTCACTCTCCAAATGGCCGCAATGGCCACAGCTGCCCCGATCCGAAGCCAGGAGCCAGGAGCTTCCTCCCTGTCTCCCATGCGGGTGCAGGGGCCCAAGCACCCAGGTCATCCTCCACTTCTATCCCAGGCCATAGCAGAGAGCTGGACCGGAAGTGGAGCAACCGGGACTAGAACCAGCGCCTATACGGGATGCTGGCGCCACAGGCGGAGGATTAACCAAGTGAGCCACAGTGCCTCTGAGCTTTCTGTGAACCCCACTGAGCACCCAAGAGACGCCACAGTCTCTTACCCCTCCCTAACCAACTCAAGTTAAAAGTTCCATCTGGATGAAGTCAGTGGGGCTGTCTTCATTCCTGTAACAGAATACCCGAGACTGGAAAATTTGCATTTATGATAGAAAGAGGTTTCCGGTATTTAGGTTCTTGGACATGGAGGCTGCCAGGTCCTAGGGCATGGGGCTGGCATTGTTGGCTTCTGGTGAGGGCCTTGTGCTGCATCGCTGGTATCTTTGAATAAAAACAAGAGAGCTCGAGGGGCAGCCTCACTTCACGACAACCACAATCCATCAGCTCTGCTCTGGGGAAGCCGGGCAGGGAGTTAAATGGGGGGTAGAGGAGCTGGGACTTTTGCCAGCCCTGCCCTGTGACTTTATTCCTCTATCTGTCAATCTAATAAGTCCACATGCCCAGGAAGCACCTGCGTCATATCCAGGACTAGGAAAGCTGGTGACGTCAGCATGACCACATGGAAGTTCAATTCCAGAAAAATCCCATAGAGCTTCAGTCAGGCTGAGACCACACCCCCTCTTTGTTTATTCATATGACCACATTAGAGAGACTGATAGCTGGGGAGAAGGCCTCTCTTTGCCCCCAGCCATGCTTGGAGGGCTTTCTAGGGCTCTCCCTCCCTCTCTCACTCGCTCACTCTCCGCTGTCCTCATAGGCAGCTCCCTGGCTCACTCCTGATGGGTGTTTCTAGGAGTGAGGCAGCTCACACTCAGGCACGAGTGTGTACACACTCGCTCACACTGAGATCCACCCTGTTCTCACTTGTGCACTCTTCCCTCCATGCAGTGCAAGAACCTGCACGGTAGCTGGGCCCATGGCCTGGTGACTCACCCAGGCCCAGGAGCGAGAACTTCCTCCTGGAGAAAGGCGTTAACCCTCCCCACCACCCAATCACCTCCCTTTAAAAACCTTATGTGAGAGGCAGAGAGACAGACACAGTGGGGGGAGAGAGAGAGAGAGAAAGAGAGAGAGAGGGAGGAAGGGAGAGGGAGAGGTCTTCCATCCTCTGTTCACTCCCCAATTGGCTGCAACAGCTGGAGCTGTGCCAATCCAAAGCCAGGAGCCAGGAGCTTCCTACTGGTCTTCCACATGGGTACAGGGACCCAAGGACTTGGGCCACCTTCCACTGTTTTCCCAGCAGAGCTGGATCGGAAGAGGAGCAGCCAGGACTTGAACCAGCACCCATATGGGATGCTGGTACTGCAGGTGGCAGCTTAATCCGCTATGCCACAGCATTGGCCCGGATGTACTGGCTGTCTTCCCGATTGCCCACAAGCTCCTCAATCCCGCTCTCCCACATGGGTGGCAGGGACCCAAGTACTTGAGCCAACACCCCTCACCCAGTGCCTACAGGGTGTGCTTTAGTAGGGAGCTAGAACGAGGAGTAGAGGCAGGACTCAAACCCAAGGCACCCACTCAAGAGATCCAGGGCACCCCCAGCCTTATAGCCCTCTGCCCTCCTCCCCAGCCTACCACACTGGCCACCAACTCTCAATGTGGGGCTCAGAGGGCACAAACCATAGCCCATCTGAAATGGGGATTCAGGACTTGTAGCCTCGTTCCTGGAGGAAGAACACTGGTCTGCCTGGCCACCCCTCCCCTGTCTGGGCCATGGTACAATCCCGTGCCTCCTCCTTGCACTGACTTCAGGAGTTCAGCGTCACTGTCTCTGACTACTGTGCACCCCAGCTGCATCCACTGTCTGAACACCCAGAAGCCCTATTAATTCCCTCCATGCGTGCCTATCCTGTAATTGAATTAATTCCTTAACTACCTGTTTGTCTGCTGCTCTCACATCACAACACATGAGCTCCCAGGTTCAAGGGACCAGTCTTTAGCATTTCTGCAGAACCAGAACCCGGCCCAGCACCGTCTCAGAGCCAAAGACACGGATGTTGGTGCACCTGCCAACTGCCTGAGGTCCTCCGTGTTGAGCTTAGCTCTTGGCCTGACTCAGCGCTCTAGGTATGGGGCACCTTCTTGTCCACCTGTGCTGGGTCAGAGGACTAGAGCAAGGAGAAATCAAGACAAGAGGAAACTGGAAAATCCCCCTCAGGCGGAGGAAGAAAATCCCCCTCAGGCGGAGGAAGCGGGAGAACCAACAGGAAGTGTCAGGCAGTCCTAAACCCGGCGCAAGGCAGACCCAGGAATGAGAGTAAATTACACCTGTTAGAGGCGGTCCCAGAGCTCCACCTTGTGCCCCGTCAGAGGTTCTCATCTTCGGAAGGCAGAAGTTCAGGGTCACGGGGCTGTGGGGACGGACATGACACCAGACTGGGCTCCTCCAAGCCCACAGCCCCGTGTGCTTCCCACCATCCCAGGATGCCAGAGAGCGTGAAGAGGTGGGCAGCCATGTCAGAGCCTGGGAGACAGGCTTGAGAGGCTGTGTGTCACAGCAGGTGCGCTAGGGCAGTGCGACCCTTTGATGTCAGGGGGAACCTGTTGCGAGGTCTTCCTGGCCTCAGCCCAAGTGGCAGCTCCTAGGCAGAACAAACCCCTAGACCTGCCACTCTGCAGCAGACTCGCAAGCTGGGCAGGGTTGAAATACCCACAGAGGGACTCCACCAGGCTGCCCTTGGACGGAGATCACCCCTCCCCCGCCCCGGCCAGGACGGCTTCAGTTGATCTCAACCTGTGTCTGGCCCCCAGCTCTGTTGGCGTGTCCCACGCTCTGCTTACCTCTGCTCTTTGAAATAATACAGCTGTTTTTAAAAATTTTTATTTACAATAATAAAGCACTTAACTATGGAAACTGGGGTGGGGTGGGGGCAGGAGTGGATTGGTGGGGGAATGGGCAAGGGATCTGATCTCAATAGTCTCTTTAGGGTGGGTGGGCTCAAGAGAGGTGTTGACAGATGAGTCACTCACAGCAGGGGAGGCACCTGCTAGCTCGGTGGCTTGTGGGGCCCAGCAGGGCTCAGGATGACAGGGCTGTGGCTATGAGTCCAGGAAGTGATGGCTGAGCCCTAAGTCTTAGCAGCCACCGGGGGCAGCAGGCTGGGTGCGCTCCTGGCCGGGTGGGGCCCCTTGCCGCAGGCTCCTGGGCTCCTTGTCGCTGCTGCTCCTGGCGCTGGCGGCCTGCAGGGCAGGCCGAGGGGCAGCAGAACTGCAGGACCCGGCTGCTCTCTTCCTGGCACACTCGGTTCCCCGGGATCGGACACTCCTCTTCAGCTTCCCAGGCTTGGGCACGAAGGCGCGCACCACTCCGTTTCTGGGCACAGGCTTGAAGGCAGAGGGCGTGCGCGCTGGGCTCTGCTTCCTTTTCTTGGGCTCCGGGGTCTCAAACCAGAGCGGGCCGTCGAATTTTCGTTTGCCCTTGTTGCACTGGCTCAGTGCCTTCAGCACCGTCTCCCTGGCGCAGGGATCCGGGCGCTCCGGGGTCACGGCGCTCTTGTACAGGCTCTCCGGGCGCGATGTGGCCGAGATGCGTACGGTCACCGGGGAGCTCCGGTTCTGCCACAGCCAGCGATGCCTGCAGCTCATGCGTGCGTGGTAAAGGCTCACCCCCTGGAGCGACGCGGGGCGCAGCCTCCTCGGGAGATTCCCGCATGCCACCGGCACCTTCGCCCTTCGGCTCTGGGCGTAGTCTCGGCGGGGCGGCGTAGCGGGAAAGTGGCGGACCCAGGTCCAGTGCTTCACCTGCACCAGGGAAGCTTGGCAGGGCTCCGGGACCAGTCGGCGGCGGGCAGACCCAGGCTGCGGAGACCGGTGCTCCTCGGCTCGCGGCGGCAGCGAGGCGCGGGGCTCGCCCAGGTAGGCCAGCAGGTACTTGCTCAAGTGGAGACCCATGAGGTCTGCGCGGAGGTCGCTGAGTCGAATGCGGGATTCAGCTTCCAGCAGTTGAGGAAGGCTGCGAACGCGGCCAGTGGCTGAGTTCGAAGGGCGACGGTGACCGTTGGTGACGTTGGCAAAGCTCGGGACGCCCAGGCCATGGGATCCCGCGCTGGCTGCGCGGGGGCCGCCCCGGGCACGGGGACATCAGCGGGCGCATTGGCAGCGTGGGACGCGGTTGCACCACGGTATCTGCAGGACGAAGAAGGCTCTGGCCGCTGTCCTGTCCGTTGCTATGTCCAGGCACTGGGCCCTGGGCACAGGGGCCTGGTAGCTGCGACTGAAAGGGACCAACAGATAGAAGCCTCGCTACCAACATGCTGATGACAGCAAGCGACAGACGGGTGCTCATTTCCATCGTTGTAGACCTGAACCTCATCTACCCAGATGGTCCTGTAAGAGAAAAGAACCCGTGGGCTTTTCCCAGTAGATTAGGTGTGTGTTTCATGCTCCTGGGGTGGATCCTGATGCCCCTTATTGATGCAACTTAGCTCTTAAAGAAACGACAAAAGCCCCTCGGATTTATGATTTAGCGCCAGCGATGTTGATTGTAGATGGCACCTCCTCCCACCTTCCGCCACCAACCATCCATGTTCAGCTCATGTGTGCTCTCAGCACGAGTGCCAGTTAGTTCATGATCTTGTCTGGACCTACTGGAGGGAGGCACCTTTTCCATGAGGAGCCAGAAGAGGTGTAACTCCAGAGGTGAAATGCGCAGAGGCTGCTGGGTATACGGGTTGCTGGGCTTGATGCCTACCGGTGTGTGCTAGGTGCAGGGAGCTCTTGCCCTACTCCAGACGCAGGAATGAGGGAGAAACTGGCTGTGCACTCAAGATAGCCCCCACGTGCAGAGAATGGGTGCGACCTGCCCGAGACTGTGGGAGTCCTTAGCTGGGAGGCGTGTACTGTAGCTCCCTGAGTCAGCACCAGCACAGACTCACCAGCCGGGAAGCTGTGTCACTCCTGATGTTGACGTGTGGCCAGGAGACAGGAAACCTCGCGGCAGAACAAAGGCAACTTTTAAACAATAGCAGCCACCACCATCACCGACAGCAATATGCTAAGTAGGTCACGGGGTCAAGAGTCAGCCATTGCCAAGTCCTCAAACCAACCAAAGGACAGTCCAGAATTCTCGAAGGCCAGATGCTTAGCCCAAATGGGTGAGTTTGGGACTGAGTCGGACTTTGATTCTTCTCTAGGAAAAAGTCCAACCCACTACTGTATATATTTTTTTTATTTGTAAAGACTCAATGCTCATGCTGTTGGGCTTTTTATCCCACACACATCCACACACGCTTATGTTTGCATAGTCTTTTGTGTCGAATGTTACATCAAAAAAAAAAATCATGCTTGCTAGGAATTCAAAGAAGTCGTACTTTTCCCTGTCTCCCCCACTAAATCCAAATAAAAATCTTGGACCATACGTATAAAACCAGGATAAGAACCTCAAAGGCAGAAGGAGGCAGATAAACGAGGACTTCTGGGTCCCCTGAGTTTCTTGCCCGACTCATGCTTTCCAGACTTGGAGCTGAGGAGCCCGGCCACAGATGGGCAGACAGAAGAAACCCCAACAAAAGATTGCTGTTTCTTAGCTAAAGGACTAAACAAGGGGGCAGAAAACCTGCAGACAATAACATTTGCCAAAGGCCTCCGGGAAGTCTGGGGTCCCACCCCCAAACAAGGCAACGAAGGGTGAGTTGAGAGCCTGGTTCTCCACCCCTGGCTGGCAGGAGCGAGAGGCCCCTCTGCCAGGCACCACATTGGTGTCAGAGAAGCCCTCTTGGGCAGTCAGCACCGTGGCCCTGCCCAACAGTCACAAAGCCAGCACCCTGTGGCGTCAGTGTGAAGGACTCCTACATTTCCCACTCAGGGAGGTGGCCCTGGAAACCTAATGGGAGCCATCACGCCTCTCCCCAACCAATAGGAATGAGTACCCTTCCCTTGGGCATCCATGGAGGCACTTCCCTTCCCACCTGCCAGTAACAAGGCGGCCATAGGTGTGTCTGAGGAAGTCAGCTAGCAGGGAGAAGTGAGGTTCCAGCACTCAAAACACAGTGAGTCCCTCAGTCTGAGTTCCCACAGAAAATCACTCGCTCAGAGCTGAATGAGAAAGATGATAGGTAGATGCCAACACAAAGATGACCAAAATGTCAGCGCTGACAAAGCTATCATAAAAATGAATAATTTGAAACCCGCTTGAAGCAAATGAAAACACAGACATCTAGCAAAGAAATAAAATACAGAAAGAAAAGCCAAGTGGAAAAATTGAGAGCTGAAAACTATAATAACCCAAACAACAGCAGCACAAAAAAAAACCTCAATAGATTCATTCGGTGGGAAAGAATCCATGAACTTGAAGACATAATAAAAGAAACTATAAAATCTGAACAACAGAGAGAAAACAGGCTGGGACAAAATAGCGAACAGAGCCTCAGAGAACTGGGGGATTGAAACACACGATTTCAGGGAAGAAAAGAAGAAAGAGGGAGGGGCTGAGGATGTACATGAGGAATCCATGATTGAAAATGTCCGGAATTTGGCCAGCGAGGTAAACTAATGCTTTGAAGAAGCTGAGTGAACTCCCCGGCAGAAAAAAATACAAAGAAACCCACAAGAGAGATCATAATTCAACTTCTGAAAATGAAACACAATAGAAAACTCTCAAAAGCAGTAAGAAAGAAACCGCAGGGGAAAACAATGTGAATGACAGGATTTTTTTTTTTTAACAAGAAAGCATTGGAGCCATCATTTCTCAAATGTTTAAACAGCATTTTCAACCCAGAATTCCACATCCAGCAAAAATACATTTAGGGGTGGGAGGAGTGGGAGATGAGTGATTCACAGATGAAGGGAAGCTATGAGAATTTATCACAGGCAGAAATATCCTTTAAAAAAGTTTTCTTTAATAAAAGAAAAAAAAATTGAGATATGAGGAAGAGACAAGACAGTAAGCAAACATATGTGTAAATAGAATAGATTTTCTTTCTTCTCTTGGGTTCTCTAAATTGTCTTTGATGGTTGAACTAAAAGTTATAACTGTCTGATGTGGGTCTAAATGTAAGTAGAGGGAATATTTAAGACATTCAGATTATGAATGGAGAGAGTAAAACCTTAAAGTGAAGTGAAGTTTCGATATTTCACTTGTATTGTCTGATTTCCCTTTCATTCCTAAAGGGTATGTTTGCTGGGTATCAGATTCTGGGTTGACTTAATGATGACATCAATAGGCTGATTATTTATATAATTATGTAGTGTAATACTTATAGCAACCACTTAAAGAGCTATAGAAACAGAGACGCCCCTAGACACTACATGCAAATCAAAATCAAAGTCAATTCTAAAAACTGTAGTAACCTACAGGAAGAAATAAAAAAGAAAATAGAGAAGGGAAAAACAGAGACCCAAACAACAAAAAGTGAAGTAGCAGACTTACCTTTCATGTGTCAGTAATTACATTACATGTCAATGGGCTAAATTCAACAATTAAAAGACAGAGAGTTGAAGAGTGGATTGAAAAACATGATCCAACTATGTTCAGTTTATAAGAAACTCAATTTGAAATTAAGTGACATAGACAGGTGTAAGATGATAAAGGAAGATAAATCATGAAAACATTAATCAAGAGAAAGCAAGAGTGACTACGTTAATAAGCAATGAAATGGACTTCAGAGTAAAGAAAGTTAGTGAAGAATCTAGCCACAAATGAGACATAGCAACCCTACATGTGTGTGCAAAAAACAGCAGCAAAAACTGAAGTGAAGATAAACAAATCCATAGTCAGAGTCTTCAACCTCCCATCCTCAGCAACTGGTAGAACTAGAGAGACATTCAGGGAGAAGATCTCAGCAATATCACCCAACAGCATCAAATCGACGTTTATAGAACCTTCCACCAAAGCGCGTGGTATACAGTCTCCTCAAATGTGCATGGGACCTAAGCAAAGGTAGACCAGATCCTTGGCCATGAAAAATTAACAGATTTAAAGTAAGAGTGTGTTCTTCAACCAGAATGGATTAAAACTAGAAATCTATATCAGAAAGCTAACAGGAAAACCTCCAAAAATGTAGAACCCATGCAATGGACTTCCCAATAATGTATGGATCAAAGAGAAAGTCTCAAGGGAATTTAAATGATCAGTGAAGATATAACATTTCAGAATTTATGTGACACAGCTCCTGGAGGGAAATATTTGGAACGGAATTTTACCTTACAAAGAGGAAATGTCCCAACTGATCATCTAAGCTCTCATGTTGAGAACATAAAATGAAAAGTAGGTGACACCCAAAGCAAGTGTACATTATGTACAGTCCAACAAGCTGTGATCCATGTAATTTTACTCAATGGTAAAAGGCACCGAATTCTTGATACTTGCAACAACCTGGATGAATTTCTAGAGAATCATGCTGAGTAAAAAAAAAAAGCCAGTCTACGATTCCATTTATTTGACAGTCCTGAAAAGTATAAAATCGTAATGAGGAAGAGCAAGTTAGTGGTCGCCTGGGGTTCTCGAGGGGTGGCAATTGAAGGAGGTGGGCATGGCTAGGCAAGGACAGCACGGAGTTTCCCTGCTGTGATAAGCAGTGTTCTATATGTTGACTGCATCCATGTCAATCTTGCAGTTAAGATATGACACAATAGTCTGGTAAGATGAACCATCGAGGAAGCTGGGCAAAGAGTAAATGGGCGCTCTCTACTGTTTCTCAGGATTGCAGGTGAAGCTAAAATGATCTCGAGAGAACACATTTAGTTGAAAGAAACGGGGGGGGGGGAATCTCCATGGTATGTGGAGGGTTCAAGAGATCCTGCATTGCTTTTGAAATCCCTGGATAGGGCAGGGGGACACCATATTGATCAGTGATTAATTATCCTGGTAGGATCCAAGATATCATGTGATAATCCCTAGTTCTCAAATTTAGCTGCTACTCCAGAGTCACATTGGGGAAGGGTTAAAAATATCAACACCAAGGACTTTCTCCTCCCTCGCTCAACTAGGAGAGTAATTTACTTAGTCTACCATGGAACACAAGTCTGTCTCTTTAAAATTCATTTTGCAGTCTGATTTCAAAAAATACAGAGTTGGAGAGAAACCTATAAGGAGTTCTTGTGGTCATTAATTGGCTCAATAAAGGATT